AAGAGGAGCTCAAGGATGCATCTCTAACATTGTGGGACCAATCCAAACAGCATTCCTTAAGCCACTACTGATAGGAAGGTGTAGTAAAAACAGAAAGTTACAACGTTTGAATGAGCCACTGAGTCAGGAGGACCATATTTCACAAAGTGGTTGTAGATAGAATGAACTTGTTCTGTGCCAAATTTGGAGAAGCACTTTCAAAGCTTTAATTTCTTTTAAATAAATCTTCCCACTCTGCCCTGCCTGTGATCTTCTTTTGCCACAGTTCCATAGCCACAGGAATCCAAAACAACTTTGTGCTTTCTCAAGTATTTAGACTCAGCAGTAAGTCTTTTTGAGGTAAATGGGGCTTACATCTGTGCAAAAGGATATCTCAGGACTGCAGCCTCACCTTCGGATTTAGTGTCAGACTTCCTTCTGAGTATACTGGCAGGCAGGATTGCTTGCAGACACATTATCCAGAAGCATGCTCTTATTGGGTTTGGCAATACATACTGTAAGTCCCAAAACAATTGCACTGCAATCTTACATAAGCCTACTTAGAAAAATTCACTATTGAATTTATGTACTATATACTAAAGATTAGGGTATTCGCATTTGTATACAACTGCGAATATCCTCACACAGCTGGAGTTAATGAAGGTCCGGCCCGTCCACTCACATATCCACCCCGTCCACTCACACGTCCGCCACTGCCGCCAGCCAGCCTCGCTCATCCTTCCAATCACTCTTGAGCGCCTTTCTCTTCCCAGTCAGCTACCCACTCCTGGCGGAGGGAGGGAGGACAAGTCTCCCTGCAAGGCTGCTGAGCGGCTAGCAGAGTGGCGCTCCAGAGCGATTGGAAGGAAGAGAGGGGCTGCCACCACTGCTGGATGTGTGAGTGGGCAGTCTAGCCCCTGGGGCTGGACCCTCATTAACTCCAGCTGCACGGGGATATTCATATTCATTTACAAATATGAATACCCCCATCTCTAGTATATACTGCAACCCAGAAGCCTTCACCAATAGCTGTGCTGGCTGAGGTTTCTGTGAGTTGCAGTGTAAGAACACTTGGGTTACCCAAGGCTGGGAACCACTGGCCTTGATTTCTTCCACTGTAAATTTGGGTGTACTGTGTGTTGTTAAAAGCATTTTTAAAAGGCAGGTAAATGAATCCTTTAAAAAAACCTTCTGATTTTTTGAATGTGGGACATTGCTTCTATGGCTACAATTTTAAAAACTGGGAAAGGCTCTGACATTAACTTGCAATATTATGCCAAAACACCTTAGTTATCAACACATGCAAATCACTTACCGAGTAAGACATTTGGATTTTGGTGTTAGGAACCAGTTTAACTTTGCCTTCACTTGTCAGATTCACATCTACAATTCTATTTCCATTATAACCTATTTCAAGTTTTTTGTATGTCCACAGATAGTAATCTTCACCATTTTCATCTGCTTCACCAACAATGCCTGAAAAAGGTACAGGTAGTGGTGGTTAAGTTATATAGCTTGAATATGCTTGCTGCTATTAATCTGTGAACAAATTCTACTCTTTTGCAGCAGAACTGGATTCAACTGCAAGCTTTGGCATCTGAGAATCATCAAGATTGGTTTCAAAATAACAAATGAAGCTTCTCTGTTGAAAAATGAAAGCTTGCAAGCATATTCTGCATTTTAAAGAACCTGCTGGGCAGGCTCAAAGGTTTAGGCCGAGGTTAAGAGTTCAATTCCCCACTGTGCCTCCCTGACAGTGGCTGGAGTTGATGATCCACAGGGTTCCTTCCAGCTCTGCAATTCTAAGATTGAGATTATTATTAAAGATACAAAGATCTGCCACAAAATAATCAAATTCTTCCAAAAAACCAAAACCAAACCAAACCCACTGAACCCATAAATTACTGAACTTAAAAGAAATAGAGGATTATGTATTCTGGTTCAACTAATCACATAGAGAGATAAGGAGCTAGAGAGAGTATCAAAAACACTGCTAAGAACACTAGAAATTTAATTCAGACTCCCCATCTTGAGCTTCTTTACATTTTACCAGGTTAGCTGCTTGCTAATTAATTAAATTTGAAGTAAATATGCATATTGTATAACTAAATTTGTTCTTCTAGAATTTGGAATGAAAAACAAAGCGGTTTGTTTTCCCACAGGAAGAAGTGAACCAACATTCTGCCTAGTTTTACAAGAAGATGTATGTTTTAGCTAGAAGGAAAGGAAAAGGGACAGAACAGAAAATGAGTCTCCTGCTTCGTCGCCTAGTTTGGAGGCCACTTAAAGCAGATTCATTCTTTCTGGAAGCAGCAAAGTGAGAAGTCACCATTTCAGGTGCCTGAGTAACAAGTGACACTAGTATCTTCTTGTGCAGCTCTACAAAAAGCATATGCAAATTTGTCATAAATTAGAAAATCTTCACAGACATTGGCTTAAATCCAGTAGTAGGTCACAACTGAAGTAGGTCCATTGAGTCAGAGGGGATATGGAATCAATGCCTATGTAAGTTTCACTGATTCAGCAGACCTACTCTAGTTGTGATTTATAGCTAGATTTCAGCCATTATCTGTTGCATGGTGAGTCATGAAACTAAGCATTCAACTGATGTTTATAGAGATTCTGTAACTTATGGCAGTTTGCTTTCAAAAGCTACACTTTTTGCATAGCTGTGCCATGAAATTTCGGCCACTAGATCAGTGATTATTTGTAACCTTGCTCAGATCTTGGAGTAGGGGGGAAAGGGCTAAACATGTTAGCTGTTTCTTTAAAAAAATTAAAACTGTATGATGATCACAATGCGGGGGGACTTAATATTACTAATATATTATTTTCTATTTTTAAAAGATTTTAAAATAAAAAATACAAAATATACTGAAATGACAACTTAAAAATTATGTTTTCAAAAGAATTGGCTGAAATCCAGGAGTACGTTACAACTACAGTATGTCCATTGAATCAATGAGGTTATAGAGTTGTAATCCTTAGTGATTCAATGGGCCTACTCTAACTGTGACTTACTACTGGTTTTCAGCCATTATTTATTATATACCAAATCATGTAATAAGGGTTACAGCACAAGAAAGGGTACTATTACACCCTCCTTACCCTAAAAACTAACAGCTACCTCCAAGGTTCAAGCTTGCTTTATCTGCCATTTTCACAGTTTTCAGTGAGATTCACCAATAAGAACTAATAAATTTCTGAAGTCTCTAAAAGTAGTGTTTTATTTAGAAATTGCAGATATTTTCAGATTTGACCTGAAAACATGTTTCTAAATAAAATGTACATCAGTTGTACATCTCTAACAACACTTAAGGAGGCACATACTTTATAAATCTCAGCTTCAGTAGTGCAAGTTTCAATTATACTATTATAAATATATTTTTGAATACAATTTTCCAGTTACATAAAAACAGCTGTAATTTATATTATCACAAGTCAGGTGACAGTAATAATACAAATATTTCCCTTAAAAGAAATAAAGTATGGTTTATATTCTATTATTTCTGTTAATGGTTTTCTCCATAAGAGAGCTTATTACTCCATTGGAAATAAAACTGAAAATCATGTACTGTAGTGTGTTTTCTTCCTATATTTGGTGCTTGTTCTGCCAAATAAACAACCCATCTCTAAGAATCATATTCAGAAAAAGTCTGATTATATTATGCTGCGCCTTTTTATGAGCCAGAGTTCATAAAAGAAGCATGGAGGAAGAGCAGAACATTAAGAAAGCACAGCAGCAATGTAGCAATTAGGCAGATTGCCTCCCAGACTTGAGGGAAGGAAGATCACGAGTATTAGGATCATCCATTATTTCAGCAGCACCTCTTTTGGCACATTAAGTTGCCCTAATATCCATCACAGCTTCAGAGGCAAAAAGCAACAACAGCTGTACAGGCTGATGCCACACCAAGCCTAGCACAATAGAAACAACGACCCTTTCTTCCAAGTTTTGGAAACAGGAGAATGGCAAGGATTTGTTCTCAACTGTTCCAGTGGCATACAGAGGGCTCACAAGCTTAGTGGGATGTGTGGTGGAAGCACAGATCTGGATGACTATTAAAAACAGCCAAAATTCTCTCGCCGGGACTACACTGCTGATTACAAGGTTCTGTTGTTGTTTTGCAAAATGTAAAGGATGTCTTTGAGGGTCAAACTGTCATTTGGAAAAGGGACTGGTGAACAAAATTAAAAAGCCAAGGTAATCCCTGACTATCCATCTGGATGCCTCTTAAACAGCAATCATCTAACATTCATGGGAGAAAGAATGCTCCCCACCCAATCCTTGAAAGACTGACACAGGAAATGGGAAACAACTTGTTCATCTGCAAACTTTGCCCTCCAATGCTTCTATGCCTTTAAAATGTGCACTGCAGGTTAGAGTTGGATCCATCATAGTCACAGGAAACACATGTGCCTTTCATCGTGTTAGTCTGACACACCAGCCACAACTTCTGCAGGACACAAACAGCTTGAATGCTGTTATGTAAATATAAGTTTAGGCCAGAATGCAACAACTAGATTAGTAATTTGGACTGGTTGCTAGTTTTTCTCTTAATCACAATTCCACATGTCTATGATTACTTAAAATGCCCTAAATGGTCTGGCAGCTTTGTACAACATACGCTGCTCATATTACTGACCCCTTTCACCGTTTAAAGTTAAGTAAGTGGAAAGAAGAGAAAAGGCCCAATTGTAGCAGATCACTTATGAAACTGATCTATAGCTTCAGTGATTAAGTACAAAGATCCACATTTTCAGGTAGGGCTGGGAAAACTCCTGCCTAAAAATATGAAGAACTGTCATCAATCATTGCCAGCAAAACCAAACTAGTTACTAGTTTTACTCATTGCAAGAACACAGTCTTCTGTGTTCCCAAATGCCTCAATGGAAAAGTTCATGACACCCAACTGCATTGCCTTTTCAATGCAAGACAACTGCATTTTTATTTGCTCAGCATGGAATGTGAAATGAACAATTACTGTTGTTTGTTACCTACTCCAAATGTGTATTTTCTTCTTTGTTTTAATTGTTATTGTATATTAATAGTATCTCATTGTATGTTGCCATGAAAAGCAAATGCTTTTAGAAATAAAATGAAAACCCTTGCCACTCTATGCAGGACAGTTATGCAATGAAGGGAATGTCTTTAACCTATTGCCCCTTTGATCTATCATAAACTTTTCAAATCTTGCAAGAACAAAAAGACTGACAATTCCATTTTTCCACAGTTGATGTTTAAAAGCAAACTGAGTGAAAGTGAAAATCTTGCTATTCATACATTTGAGCAGTCACGTTTTGGAGGCAACTAGTGGGGTTAGTAGGGTTTCTAACTGAAACCCTACTAACCACAGAGCAGTGGATACCTCTGATGGGGGTAGTGCTGTAAGCTGAAAAAAGACCACTCATGCACTGTTTGCAGCAGCACATGTTCTCAGAAATCAGTACATGGTCACTACCTTTTGTGAGAAGAGAGTTTGAGCGGCACATAGATATATAGCTCTGCAGGAGAATGTAGATTAGCCCCATGCTGGAGAATATGGAGATTCCCTGCTCCCAATTTCAACAGAACAACCTGGCTCCTTAAGAGGCCAGGCACTTTTGCGCTCAGATTTTATTTTTGCTGGAGACATTCAAAAGAAAGGCATTCAAAATACAAGCTTCATGCCCCCAGAGGCACGCAGGTAATAAAGCAACCCAAGTCTGAGGGTATATTTATTTTGGGTTGGTACGCATTGTTATGTAGGAAGTGCCTAGTTTAAATTTAAATTTAAGTTTAAACATAAATTGCAAGGCTGACTGGTGAAATTTTTGACTGACTGGTGAGACATTATAAAAATTTTAAAGCCCTGCACATGTGTCATTTCCATTAAAACTTAGACAACATCCACTCCAGTATATGGCAGAGCCACAAACAGAGAAAGAAAATATGGTGGGTTTTGGCAATTCCCACTGTCAATTCTTTGAGGTACGTACATATAATAATCTTAGAACTGCAGAGCTGGAAGGGACCCTATGGAACACTGAGTCCAGATTCTGTCAAGGAAGGACAGTTTTGAATTGAACTCCCAGTCTCTGCCTCTGAAGCCAGATACTTAAAAGCACTGAGCCATCCAGTGGAATGAGTAACACTTGATTAAACAGCAGTGATGGAGAATGTATTGTTTACTTATTTCACGCCTTTAACCCAAAACATGGGCTCAAAGTGGACTGATAATAATAGTCTGAGAGCAGGAATGATGGCAGGACAGAGAAAAATAACAAAATATCAAGACTGTATACCGCTTGGTAGAATAGTTTACAATTCTGTATATAATACAGACAAACATTTCTTACCCCATATTGGCAAATCATCTATGTACATCTGATACCAATAGTGATTTTTGATAGCATAAACAAATGCATCTCTTGTTTGTTTATCCAAGTCTATTTCACAGTATGTTGTCTGCATCACATCCTCTGTGAAAATTAAAATAAGGTGTTAATAATGCATGAACTATGAACTGACTGATCTTAATGTCAATCCTTTATATTAGTATCATTTTATCCAAAATAGCCTCCATTCGACCATAGCCTATGTGTCAGCCCATAACCTCCTATGCCTTTTATGTTTTACCATTGCCAAACACTACTCGCCCCTATAAAAAATTGCCCTGAGCCAGTGCTAATCTACTGATAAGCAACAAATACTTAGCAGTATAAATGTAAACTTCACTATTCTGGTTTTAAATACAATACCATTTCCCCTTCTTCCAAAGCTCACAGGCAGCACAAACTCTTCCTCTCGTCAAAGTCTAACAAGATCATCAAACCAATTCAAACCATACTCAGCCACCCAAGAAGGAAAAATTTCACCCAATATTTTGCTCCCCCCGCCAAAAAATAGAAAGGGGTCATGGAAGATCCAGAAGGGGCGATGCATCAAAGCTAAAGGCAGCGTTGCCTTTGTAAACTTCAAACGATTCTCCATAGATTTGTGAAAAGTTCCCAGGGCCTCTCTTTTGCAGAACATCACACTTTCTCAGAGCTAAGACCAAAAATGCTACCATTGCAGGTCTTTTGGAGGGAAGTGAAAGAGTTCTACTTTCCAAGCTGTAATTAATCAGGTCCTTTGATTGTTAATACTACTTAAACTAGATGCTACGTATATGTGATCTCTATCTTCCAGAAAACTCAGGTCCATCCAACAATATTTATACAGAATGGGCATCTCTGGCATGTCGGCTACTTGAAACATGTAATGTGTACCTCCATTGCAATGTATCTATGTGGGGATACTATCCCTCATTTCAATGAGTATCTTGGGGACAATACATGATTTAATTATGTCAGCCAGAAGCTGAAAAAACAAAGAAAATAGCTCCAATTATCAGGCACCTATCACTATTATTGAACAAAGACAGGGACCTACACTTCCAGTGTTTCTTGATTTATGTGCATTTAGAGTATAGCGACAAAAGGCTATTGATAAAAATGTACAAACACACAGCATTTTTCTTAATTAGATGGGATTCTGTAAACTTAGTTGCAAGCTTCAGCGCCTCCGAAGTCACAAGGACATCTGGTCTGAGTTTGAACTCCAGTAGAGCCATGAGCTCAAGATGCTGCCAGTCTCCCTATGGAAGAGTCCATTTACAGTAATTGCCATTAATGGCATATCTTCATTCAGACAGTACTTTTTGAACCAGATGCCTCTTTTGATACAGCACAGGCATAAGGGGTGCTCTTTTTTTTTTAAAGCTATGTTTCCCCATCCTGCTGTCTTTGCAAGTGTACAGCAGTCAAATTCTACTAGGGCTATTACTACCATTCCTTTCCCTTAACTACTTTCCTTTACTGTGTATGGTTATGAAAATACAGTCGTGCCCCGCTTAAGGATTACCCCACATTACGATGAATCCACTTCACAATGATGTTTTTGCGATCACAAAACGATGGTCTAAATGGGTTTTTTTCGCTTTGCGAAGATTGGTTCCCTGCTTCGGGAACCGATTCTTAGCATTACGACGATCAAAACAGCTGATCGTCAGGTTTTCAAAATGGCCACTGGGTGCTCAAAATGGCTCCCTGCTGTGCTTAGGGATGGATTCCTCGCTATACAGGCACCGACAATGGCTGCCGTATGGAGGATCTTCGGTGGACGGTGAGTTTTTAGCCCACTGGAACACATTAACCGGGTTTTAATGCGTTTGAATGGGTTTTTAAATTTCACTTTATGACGTTTTTGCTTTACAGCGATTTCGCTGGAACGAATTAACGTCGTTAAGCGAGGCACCACTGTAGATAGGTAGGTCTTTGGGACAGCTCCCTAAGGAGTCATTCTTGAAACAGCATTTTTAGCAAAACATTTCTGAGTTTCCAGCTTGCTATTCAGGGTTTAGCTTTGGGTGACTGAATTCAAATTTAGTAATTTAGTAAATGGCGCCTGAAATCAAAAGGTTAGGGTAAACTCTGCCACGCGTCCCACTGGTACGAAGCCTGCTTTTGTCTATCACCCAACTGGGTAGGTCATGACCCATAGGTATGCACAGAAGTTTTCCTGGAGCAGGGAGAGCTGCACAGTATCTGACTGTAATCTGGACATGTACTGCACAGCTACAATGCATCAGTTCACTGTACGTGTGTTCAGATGCACAAGCTTCGTTCCTTTGTGTCATGTTCGGTGATATTTTGAAGCCTACAAAACCCAGCAGAAAATGTTGAGAATTTGTAATAATAACACAGCAGTACATTCTTCCTTCATGAAACAGACATTGTGAACTCCAACAAAGTTTACTTGGAGTGAGGAACACTGTAAAAAATGTGACATGGAAAAGAGACAGATAAGTACAGCAGTGTTAAGACTGCACCAGTTTTTTTGTGGCACCATTGCGCTTGACAATTTCATACAGCATGTCCACAAAAGTGGCCCAGTGTACCATCATGGTTGCCTTCATCTGAGAAACACTGATGAACATGTTACTGAGAACAGCCAAAAGGACCTTCAGAGAGTGTAATTGGCAGATAGGACACATTGCTATGTTTATGTGGGCCTTGAGATTCCATAGAACGCTAGAAAAAAGCGTTCCCAAAGCAAACAACTCCTTCTCCTATCAGCCAAAATAAATGAATGTTTGCATTAACTGGATTCTAACTTATACAAATGTTCTTTCGGAACTGTATATATTATGTTGGGAAAGAACACCCTGATACTATTAGAAAAGAGGCCAAAGGTAGATCTGGTGTCTAGATAATTAGCAAAACAGTAGGTATATGTTTTGTTTCATTTTCTGACTTGTAAAACAGGTAGAAAGAAGAAGCTGAGAATAACAGAGCAAGAAAAAAGACTGCTGGAATGCAGGTTGAGGAAGACTTATGCAGTGCCTGGTCAATCACAAGCCACAGCTCATTATCAAGCCTACCTTGTGGCAATTACCGTGATGAAGAGAATTCTTTTCAAAAAAAAAAAAAAGGCTGCAGTATGCTGCAATCTGGGTCAAGGAAGGAGAATTTGGACTTTTCACAGCATGCTATAACAAGTTAGCAAGAGATTCCAAAGTTAATGCAATCCCATCAATGAAAGTCTCTAGAACATGGACTGGTCTAGTTAATTTGATGTCTTTAAGTTGTTGTGACTAAAGAAATATATAAGTGTTTTGTTGTGTTCAATTAACCACCTATGTGCTTCACTCTGGATCCTGGGAGTCCTGTATTCTGATTATTCAGCTACAGTTGGGACAGAAATTTTTAGAAGGTGGTGCAATTCTGCAAGGTTATAAATAATTCAGTCTTGAAAATGTGGAAACTAATGAAGCATGCACAGAATTTGAGTAAAAGCAATACTGGAGAAGGATCAACCAGTAAAGAACTGTCTTGCCTAACGTTCCCTCTCGGGTTTTTTTCGCACTGCATGGGAGCCTCGCCGTACATGTACAGAGGGGTGGAGCTTCATCCGAAATTGGGAAGTAAACAAATCAGCTGCCGGCTGCCTGTGTGCAGTACTAATGGAACTCTGTGCATGCCCATGTACCTTAGAGGGAACACTGGTCTTGCCGTAAGTAAACTTCTCAATATAAGGGCAGGATTCCAAAAGAATGTTTTAAGAGTACAACAGTGATATACAATTGTAGGAAATCTTGACAAAAGCTATTTTGCTTACCTTTAAATTTAATGTCCAGACCACTGAATTCTAATTCAACTCCTTGAAGTGCTTCTCCCAGGGTTTCATGGTAGTGACCAATGCTTTTTTTTGATCCACCACAAAAAGGGAGAGAGAAATATTTGTATGTTTCCTGGCGATTGTGATAGGGTCCTACAGTATTCATCCATAAAACAACCTCTTCTTTATCTTGGTACTGAAAAGAAGAACAAAGATTATAAACAGATATCTTCTTTAATACAGAAGAGGTATTAAAGGGGAAATAAACAGGACATCGTTTTAAATCAGAAATGCATACAGTGGCATATCTTGTTGCCTTTGCCCATTTTCTGCTTGTTACAAATTGCTAGTGAAAATTAAGTGGTCAAAGGCAAGCACCTTGGTGGCATCCAACTATTTTGGACTATAATTTCCCTAAATCCTAGTCAGCAGAACCAGTGGTCATGGATTATGGAAGTTATAGTTCTGGTATCTAGATCGTGGGTAGGCAACTTGTGATCAGTCCTAACAAATACAGCCAATGGTTAAAGCTATTAAAGTCCAAAACACTAAATTATATTGATACCCTTTCCCAGCGTTTCATAATAGTGATGAATACTTTTTTTTATCCACTGAAAAAAGCAAGAACATATTTTGGTAGCCGATAAATTGCCTGCCCAAATCTGGAGTGCATTAAGCTGGCTTTTGCAAGTGCAGGTTAACCATGTAGTGTAAGTATAAATGAGGTGATATATTGTTCTTAGAAGACTCCAAAATTCGGCCTTATTTCTAGTATCTTTATAAATTCAGCAACAAGGAATAACCACAAAAGGCACAATCACTATGGGAAATTCACTGTTCTTATCTTTCCTTTGACAAGCCATACACTCAAAAATACTACACTACTTCTCAAATAAGTTTCAATACAATTTAGAGAACTTGAACGTTCATCTAGTCCAGCAGCTCCATTTAATTCTTTTTAATAATAATAACAATGTTATCAATAATATATATAATATTTACTGCACTAGTCAAAGACCATGGCAAGATAAAACAGTTACAATTAGTTAGGCTGACATAAAATGACAGTAAAAGCAGCATCAATACTTCACTTATGAGATAAATCAATCAGTTATTTAATTCAAGAAGCTACTACAGAATTCCAGACAGATAGCCACTGAGCTTCTGCTTTGGTATCTCCAGCAAATGGGAGTTCACTACCTCCTGAGACAGTGAGTCCCACTGTTAAACATCTCTCAATGTCAGAAGTTTCTTGTAAGGCAGGAGTAAAGGATTATATACTTTTTAAATTGACCTTGAGGCCAAACACCAATCTAGGAAGGATCACAGGGCCTACATTCTGAAAGTGAGCAGGGCCAGCTACAACTCTCAATAATTCTTAAACATTTTTTCCGCCAAGCATAGAAAGCATAGCTCAGTTTTTGCATGTCTGCTTAGGAGTACAGTGGTGCCTCGCAAGATAATGTTAATCTGTTCCGCGGAAATAGCTGTCTTGCGAAACCAACTTTCCCATAGGAATGCATTGAAAATTAATTAATGCGTTCCTAGGGGGAAATTTTTTTAAAGGAACTTAAGGGGTAGGGAGCTGGGGAAGCACCATGGGAGGACTGGTGGGCATTTTTCCCTTCCGAGGCTTGACAAAGGCTGGAGGAAGAGGCGGGAACTTTGAAAATGGTTTCAGAGAAACCTCTGCAAACGTTGATCACTGTGCAGAGGGACCCGCACGAGTCTTCCCATGGTGCAAAGTAAGCCCCGGGGGACCCCCAAAGCAGGGGTGCGTGGTTTCAGGGCACCCCCACCAGGGTTCTGATGGCTTCCTCTGCACCATCAGAGCCCTGACAGGGGTGTCCCGAAACCACCCACGCCCACTTTAGAGCACTTTGGAGGCTTTTCCTGACGGTGCAGGAAAAGCCTCCAAAGTGCTCTAAAGCAGGCGCAGGTGGTCGTAGAGCAAAAAAGTCCCATTGGAACCATCATTTTGCAATCGCTATAGCGATCACAAAAAAACCATCATAAAGCGGGGTAACCATCTAGCAAGGCACCACTGTATGCCCCAGTGCAACGATTTTTATGCCTTCAAAATGAAGCTTAGTTCCTTTCAATAGATCCTGTCATGTGTATTACTGTTCAAATAAGTCTCCCTCATGCTTTCCTGACACTTTTAAGGCTTTGTATCTAAACACAAATTTACTCTTCAAAGAGAAAAAGCCAATAATTCAAAGCAAAGAGTTATGGTTGAAGGCAATTCCAGGCAATATGAAAATTCTTCAGACAACAGATCACCCCTCCACCACAAAAGTATGGGCGCACCGATTAATTCTTAACTTCAACCCCAAATGAACACAAGAAGTGAGCTCCAGTCTCTGATCTCCCATACAGGAAAAAAACAACAACCCTCTTTTATTCTCAGGTTATGAGCTAGTGTACACTTAATTGTTCTGCCTGCCACTTCACCCTATTTCTCACTCTCTTCCTCCTGCAAACTGTACTGGAACCTGAATATTCTACATCTCTGTCAATGCACAGCATTATCAAGTCACACTCATAATACAGCTGGTCTCAACTCCAATGCTTGGCCTTAAAACACAGTGCCCTGGGAGCTGTCCATCAAGACCAGGATGTACACCAAAGCTACAAGGCAAAAGGTAGGCTACTCTTTAAATAATTCTACTGTTTATTCAACTTTTTGCCACCTCAAAACTGACTCTACTAGGTTTTTTTTAATTCTATTTGGCTGTTGATTTGAACCTACATGAAATCCAATTAGCTGCCTTCTTTGTATATATATCAATATTTAAATAGCAGTAGCCCCCTATACCTAAGACTATAATGAGCTTGAACTTACATGTTTGTGACAAATTACAGAAAGTGTACTCACTGTAGGCTAGCTGTAAATAGGGACTACTCTATTTGCAACATATCTACAAATTGCAGCACTTTTTTCTTTGTTTTAATCCAGTGTGCACACCTTTGCCATGGACATGTCAGGGGCTGGTTGTGACAACACATGATGGGAATGTCATACCCCATCCAACTCCCCTTTTACTTTTTTTTAAAAAGGTGCTTATGCACATTGTCAGTTGTGCAATTTTAATTAATTTTAAAGATAAAGGATTCACACATCTGCACATGTAAACAGAGGAAGAGAGGTAAAAAAAATCAAAGAAACCAGTCAACAAGGTGCCAAAGAGTATTAAACCCAGTTATCTCAATTATGCAAAGTAGTACACATTCCCTTGTTTTACCCAATTAATTCCTGCTTCACTCAGCTGTTGGGAGTTACCGTCTTATGCAGGGGGGCCTTAAAGTTTGCAAGTGAACTACACACCATCTTTGGTTATTTAAGAAAGGGGAAAATATTAAGCTCCTGTGATACTCTGACTTTTCCATATACTACTATTTTTTCAGATGGTTGAATTGGCTGGAGGTTCTTGTGGCCGTGGATAGCTTCTAATATACACCACGCAGACAGAAATTGCTACTTTTCCATCACTTTCTCCTCTTCAAAGGAAAATGCCAGTGAAAACTGCCACACTGTAACCTTTTAAAGGACTCCTCAGACAAAGTAAGTTTAGCAAGTTGAGTTACTTTAAAACTGACAGTATATAAAAACATATTTATGCACACATACGAGGGAGTGCTGATAATTATTGAGCTTTACCCAGAAAAAAATTGAGCTAGGATGCTATAAACTGCAGTGTGTATTGGCCAATTTGTCTATATTCAATGGTGCAAAAATCAACTACCTATGATTTTAACTTAACTTTCATTTTCCAGTCGAAAGTGAACATGGTGGCACCTCCAGAAAAGTTCAATGTGGAAGAGCATAGGACCATAATCAGGTTCCTGTTTCTCCAAGGGAAAGGGGCAAAGCAGATCCATGATGAAATGTCACAAACTATGGGTGACAGTGGCCCTTAACTGTTAAGCAACAGTTAAACGTTGGGTTGTCAATTTTTAAACTGGCCATTTCGGTGTTGAAAGTAAGAAACCCAGTGGAAGGCCTGTTTCTTTGTCTGTGCCTGCAAATGTGAAAGCCATCCATGACATGATCATGGAGGACCACCGAATATCAGCCAAAAGTATTGCTATACAGTGGGGCCTCGCACAACGATGTTAATTGGTTCCCAAAAAAACCGTTCTGTGAAAACATCGTCCTGTGAAACACCATTTCCCATAGGAATGCATTGAAAACCGGTTAATCCATTCCAATTGGAACGGATTGCCGTCCATAAGTGAAAATCGGCATAGGAAACATCGTTGAGGGAAACGCGGTTCCCCAAATGAAATGCATTGACGCCGACTCAATGGGTTTGCGAAGTCCCTTTTCGCTCCTGTAAAAGTGTCTTAAATTGTTTGAAACCTGTTTTAAATGCTTGCAATCGTTAGCCCACCTCCTGAAACCTATGCAAACTTAATTTGGTATTGTTCTGAGTTTTCGTTAATTTTTGGTGAATTTTTTTATTCTCCATTGAAAGCCATTGGACGGATGATCAGTTGGATGGTCAGTCATCCAAGACTTATCTCTGTATCAGGTGGCAACTGTAGCAAAGGATGGTCCTTTACACACACAGCACACTAATTCTAATAAACAGGAACATTTTGATCAGTCAAGGACACTGTACCAACACTGAATCCAACATATAAAGAGAGAAGTGGGCAACACATAAGGTATTTCAAGGTTCAAACACACATGACATCACAGCTGAGATTCGAGAAACACAAGGTATTCTGTGGTAGAACACTACAGTACTTTTCGCTATGCGGGGCACCACTGTATTCTGTGGTAGAACACTACAGTACTTCAGAAAACCATGGGAACATGGGCAACATTGACAAGAATGTTACTGTTCTTCAATACAAGACAAACAGATATTGATCACCTTATGTTCAAGCATTTGCAAGATTACTGGCAGTTTAAACCACATGTCAAATTGACAAATACAGGAATGGGATCATTTTCTTCCAGTACACACTTCTTAAACGAAAGGTTCCATCTAAGGCAGACCTGGGCAAAGTGCGGCCTGAGGGCCACATACGGCCCGCGAGCCGCTCCTGTCTGGCCCGTGGACAGTTTTGAACATCAAAACCATTTATAGCTTTTTGTCTAAAGTTGAGCAGCTGCTTATCTTTAACATACCGCAAAAAAACCTCTTTAGTATTTTAAACAAGTTTAAAATAAAAACAATCATAACATTATTGTTTCATTTTATGTTAAAGTAAAGTTGGTCTGGCCTCAGAACACAGTTCAGATTTTTCATGTGCCCCCTTATAGAAATCAACTGCCCACCCCTGCTCTAAGGTGTGCCCCTGTGCACACACGCACAACTCCAACCTTCCACCCAGCATTCCTCCTCCTCCTCTGCACACCCTTAGCAATCATTTAAATCCCCTTTGGTTCTGGTCCCAATGGAACCCTACCTTGGGGGGGGGGGAAGAGTTATGTGCCAATGGGGCAGATCGCCACCCAGTGGGACTGAAAATTAGAGGGAACGTTCCTTAGACCTCCAAATTATATGAGACATTTCATTTGAGGACCAACTCGTTTCATCTGAACTATTATTCTGCAGGAAAGTATGTCTGCTGTATATTCATTCATTCTTTTATATGCTGCCTTTCTCCCCATAAGAGACTCAAGGCAGCTCACAATAAATTAAAGACTACACAGTAACCACCATTAGAAACACCATAAGAAACAATACAAATATTTAAACATATAACATTCAAACTACCATTAAAAATAAATTACAGTGGTGCCTCGCTTAACAATGATACTGTAATTGGTTCCCAAAAAATCGCTGTTAAGCTATTTCATCGCTAAGCGAAACACGGTTTCCTATAGAAATGCATTGAAAACCAGATAATCCATTCCAATGGGAACGGATTGCCGTCCTTAAGCGAAAATCGCCATAGGAAACATCGCTAAGCGAAACACGGTTCCCCAATTGAAATGCATTGAAACCTATTCAATGCATCTCAATGGGGGGGAAAATTACAACAAATTGAAAAAGAGTCGGAACAAAGTCAAATTAGTTTAACAAAGGGTTTATTAAGTGCACTTATGATTTTAAGCATTCTAAACGTTTTAAAAACATTTTAAAAATTTAAAAAACAGCTAACATGAGGCTGTCAAAACCATCGTTAAGCGAAACAGGGGGACCTAAACTGTCATTGCTATGCGAAGCATGGTCCCAAACATCACTTTGCGAAAATTGCCCACAGGAACCATCGTTAAACGGAGTGCAAGATCGCTCTGAAAAAGTCATCGCTAAGCGATTTCATTGTTAAATGAAGCAATCGCTAAGCAAGGCACCACTGTATAAAACATTTTAAATATATAAATGGAGCATTCCTTTAAAAACCTCACCACCTATTGTTTAAAATTCTGTCTGAAAAGAAAGGTCTTTGCCTGATGATAGAAAAACAAGAGGGAAGGGTCCAACCTGGCTTCTCAGGACAATGCATTCCGAAGACTGGAAGTAGCCACTGAGAAGGCCTCTCTCAATTCCTCACCAAACAAGCCTGTGAGTGTGTGAGACTAAGAGAAAGGTGTCCCCAGTAAATCTTAAAAGCAAGAAGGCTCATATGGGGTGATTCTAACCACTTAGTAGGGTTACCTTCAACAAACAGTGAGTGTGTGAATGGATTATGTTGCATCAGACAATACCACAATGCAAAAAGAAGACTGCTATGAATACTACAGCATCCTGAATTACAACCCATCCATTTTACAGTATACAATTGCCTATCCGGCATTCCTTTCTCAAATGTGGTATGTTTGAATTTCCCCTTGTCCATTTCCAGCCCTTCTATCCCCATTTGTCCATTAATTCCACAGCCACCTATCCTGTCAACCAGGCAAAAACTGCTGGTTTTATCTCAGGTTTATTCCTTTGTTTCCTACACTGGAATGTGCTATAATTTATCCTGCTGCTTCGTGTACAATACAGTGGTGCCTTGAAAGACGATGTTAATTTGTTCCGCTGTTAAGTGAAAACATCGTCTTGCGAAACACGTTTTCCCATTGAAATGCATTGAAAACCTGATAATCCATTCCAATGGGAACGGATTGTCATCATAAAGCGAAAATTGCCATAGGAAACATCGTTAAGCGAAACGCAGTTCCCAAGCGAAGACAGCTGTCTAATGAAACAGAGACCATTAAAAGACTCGTATAGCGAAGCAAGACCAAGCTGTCAAAAACATCGTAAAGCGAAAAACAGGGACCTAAAATTTAACCGTCTTGCGAGGCAAGGTCCCTAACATCGTAAAGCGAAAATTGCCCATAGGAAACATCGTTAAACGAAGCGCAAGATTGCTCTGAAAACCTCATCATAAAGCAAATTCGTCGTCATGCGAATGTCAAAAACATCGTAAAGCGAAAAACAGGCACCACTGTATTGCAAACATCTATCTCCTTCTTTCAGTCAATGCTTTATTTCATTTTCCTGTCTTCTCCCACATCAATCCCAGAACAAGATCATACGCCTTTCTTTAGATCAGACAATATTCCACCTTATATTCCTACAATGAATTCACTCTTACGTCCAATGAATTTCTCACCTGAACTTCTAAAAGCTTTAATCCTTGTCTATTTTTGTTAAGCACCTATGCTCTTTCAACATGATCATTTTAAGAAATCTTCCTTCACTGATTCCACATATTCTCCACCTGCTATCGCTTCCAGAATGCCTGGATAGTCTTTTCCTGAGACTCCAAATCAAATCAATGTATTTTTTTGTTTCTGCTCATAATTAAAAGCTCCTAAAAAGAATTTAAAAATTATCAACATATTATTTTCTCATTACCACTGCTCCTCACATCCTTTCACTCCCCTCTTGAAAAGTTGAGTGGCAAGGACTTTGAAGCAGGAACATGTTTCACCTATGTTACTCAGTAGCGTATTTAAAATTGGTGCAAACATATTACATCTAGCAATATTTGGCAAACTGGTGTAACCATATAACAAAAAAGGTCCTTATCTTTTTTAGTTTCATCGTTTGGTTGCCTCTGAGCTGCTTTATACAGAATCTTAAAATATCAGTATTTCCTGAATGAAATTTAAAAATTGCAACACCCAGCTGAAGGAAGTATGTTTGATAAAAATATTTCTTTTGCTTTTTGTCACGGATTGCCTTTGAAAAGTTTTGTTGATTGTTGTTGCCCTCATAATAATTTTTTCTCTTACTGCTTCACTTTAAACTTGTGAATTTTCATCATGATTTGTCCTGTTTTGCTATGAAACAGTTTGCAGTGTCTTGAACATCTATTTTACAAGACACCTGGAAGGAAAACAAAATATTTGAGCAGAGAAGCCCCAGGTACAAATGAATCTGTTAAAAGAAGCTGTCATTCCCTTAGCCAACCCCACCTCTTTCCCATTGGGGACTCCTTTTCCAATCTACTTTTACAAGGCCTATGAGAGAACATACTGTGTTAATCTATGATTTGTGCTATAAAGCTTTATGTATTACTGTCTATTAGTCTCGTTCACACACATCACCACTGGAAACCAACTACTGTATATCTCTTCCGAAAAGTGAAAGACAACATGTCCAATATCATATGGTGGCTGAAATCCTACTGCTGATTATGCCAGGCAAGTGCTAGGGTGTAAATCCAGCAGAGAAGCAAATTAAGGGGATGCGGCTTCTATTCTTCATTGTGTGATAGGTCACATGACTGGTGTGTGATAAGGAATGCAAATACAGTGGACCCTCGACTTACAGACAGCTCTACTTACAGAATTTTCGAGTTGCAGACTTCTCTGGCCGCAAAATTTAGGTTCAACTCGCAGCCAGAGAATTGACCTACAGACCGACAAAAAAACCCAAAATGGAACAAAAACGGCCAGTTACGGATTAATCGATTTTCAATGCATTGTAGGTCAATGGAGCCTTGACCTACAGACTTTTCGACCTGCAGCCACTGTTCCAATACGGATTAATTCCGTAAGTCGAGGGTCCACTGTAGGGTCTTCTTATCTAACAGCAATTCCCTGTTGCACTTACACCAGCACAAATAACTGGCCCCTAAACACTCCCAAGACTCATAGTTTGGGCTGCAAAAGGTACAGGCTATCACAGGAAAAGAAAAAGCATCTAGCCACCAGAATGCAAAATCAGGCATCAATAGTTCATATGAAAAACTAATTTATTTTTTGTGATGTTCCATAAAACACTTCGAGAAGCAAGATTTGACGTACTGTAATATTTTAACAGGCATAGCTTTGTTACTTTTCCAAAATTTATCCACTTAATATTTCATCATCAAATAAACGGTGCGCGGTACCCTCAGGCCAAAGGCGACAGTCCTCTTTGCACTCGAAAACTCAGCAGGACACACAGCTAAGCCGTTTACAGGTAGGATCTGACTGCACGGAACCCTGGCCTTAGTTCTGCCATTCGAGAGCCCCACTTTTCACCCTTCCTGAGAAAAGTGACTGCGGCGGAGCTCAGGGCAACAAGTTTTGGGCACCCCGAAAGAAACAGGGACGGGATCCTCAGCGAGGAACGCTCGTCCCAATCTTACGGGCGAGGAGGGGGGGCAAGGGTTGGATCGCTCCTCCTTTTCAGCCACGAAGGACAGCCCGAAAGCACGAAACACTCCGAGGTCGCAGCCCCACGCCGACTTCAAAGGCAAAGGGGCCGCCCCTTCGCCAGACGCCCTGCAACAGGGCGCGCAAGCTACCCACGGGAGCGAAGGGAGGAGGAGGAGGAGGAGGAGGAAGAGGCCGCCTCTCCGCGGGGTCTGAAACCCGCTGTGACGCGCCGCGGCCCTCACCGTGTGCTCATGTTCGTCGGCCCGGCCTTGCAACACCAACGAGGCCACCACGCACCACACAAGTCCGGCCGGCGCCATCCCCATCGCCACCAGCCGCCACCGAAGAAAAGGAGGCGCCGCTTCCGCCGTTCCCGCCACGTCATCCGGGCGCACACCGGAACCGCCGCTACTTACGGCGGCCGACACGACCCAAAAGCCGCGGAACTCGCAGCCGAGGAAGCAAAACGCTCTTCCCCGCGCGACTAAGTGACGAGAGAGGGGAAAGTGTTTTATAGGAGGTGGCTCGGCGGGGGAAAAGGAAGCCAAGGCGTTGTGCGCCTGCGCCCTGGGTGGGATCGGCGCGTGGGGCCGTAGCTACGCGACAGTTCTTTCCGCAGAACAGGACGGTGAAAGCAAAGGGGAAGCGTGCTCTTGCGGGGCGGGAAGCAAGGGGACCCTCTTTTGGTTGCGAGGCACGACATCTGTCGCCCCATCGCCACCCTCCAGACTCTTGGCCATAAGTTAATTACATTATTTATCATGCCTCGCCTCATTCTAAGGGCTGACAAAGGGTCACACTAGTTGTTTCCAAATGCAAAACTTCTGTGTCCAAAGAATCGTCGGTTCCTGAAAGCGAACATTATTTAAGAGCGGAGAAGGGGACTCTGTGTGTGTGTCAGAGAGAGAAAGAGATTAAACTCTCCGTTGGAAACGAGGACTCCTCACATTACTAACCAGCAGGCACTGTGCAGCTATTCTATACTGTAGGTATTTGTTTCCCCTTGCTGTAATTTCTTTTTAAAGAAAAGCATCTTGGGAGAAGGCATGTCTACACGATGCAGTTGCAACAATTTGATTTGGATTTAACTACCATGACTCCATTTTATGGAATGTTGGGGGAGATGTAGTTTGGTGAGGCACTCGGAATTCTCTGCTATAGTTCAGGGAGCCACTAAGCATCTGTCTGAGTATGGAAGTCTCCCAGTGTCATCAGACTACACACCCAGGATTCAGTGGTGAGGTCTGTTAAAAGAGGAGCTGCATTGCTGCAGCTGAGTAATGGAGACACATTTAATATCCTGTAAGATGCCCATCTTTTCTGGTATCAAGCCCACAATGAAGCAAAGCAATGCCTCATACAGGACAACCAAGGGAGCAGAGCTTAGCATCTAAGGCCATCTTTATCCTGATGCCTAGATGTGTTGGACCACAATTCTCATATTCCAGCCAGAAAGAATCAACCTGAGGAATACAAGTCGTGGTCCAATATATCTGGATGAGGTTGGGGAAAACAGTAGTCACATACAGCCACTCCGTGTTCCAACAGGTCCCCTATCATCAAGTGATGGAGGTCCATGTGGTACTAGGCCCACAGTGACCCCCTTTTACACGTAGGAAAATTAAGATATTGAGAGTTGTTAGGCTGGACTACATAGTGAACAACCTAGCCAGTAATGGGAAAGGAAGTTTGGCCTCTGGTTGGTCTTTCTTCCTTTTAGGTTGTAATCTTAACAAAGGAACTTCTGTGAAATTCTGCGGGCATCAAGATTGTCAGGTGTTCTTGAGACTACCATCATCAATGGTGGGTACACATGACTCCAGAGAGGGCTATCTCAGTCTTCTTCTTTTTTAGGTTTTAGGTAGCAGTTTTGAGATTAGAGGTAGTTCTTGGTTTGAAGTTGTAAACCTCTGCTGCTGTCTAATAATTCCTGTGTTTGAAATTTGTAAATCTATCAATACTTATATTAAAAACCCAGTTATCTGTTACAGGTGTAAAATACCGTCGTTGTCTCCCTAGACAGACTCTGACCTCTGCTTCAAAAATAACTCTTAGCATTCCTGCAATACCCAAATCTACCTAGATTATCACCCTTGGTAGGAACTGAAAATTAGCAACTTGAAAGTCCTATTCCTCTGTTAACAAACCATTTTCACTTTGTCAATCAACCATATCCTCAGCTGAACATGACTCTTGCCACTATGTAATAAATATAGGGAGTACCATATGTTTTTTTTCTCCCCTGGTCTGAAGAAGTGAATTTCGATTCGTGAAAGCTCATACAGAAATAAAACTGTTTGGCTTTAAAGGGCTGCAGTATTTTGTCTCCCCCCTCCCTTTTGCCAACATTCTGAGACACGTTAACACAGCTATTTCTTTGGAAATTCCGAAACTTGGGCCCCTTTCTTGGATGCACACCTTAATGTGGTGAAGGGTTTGAGTGTGTCAGTGAAGCTGAGAGCAGTGCTGTCAGGAGGCTCCATTATAAGACTCAATTACAAGCGAGACTGCATTGCAAATCAACCAAGGTGGAATGGCACTATGATATGATGAGACAGACTAAAATGAAACAAGAGATAATGCTAAAAGATGAGGCTTCCAGGTTGGAAAGCAATCAACTGCTGGGGAATTGCAAATGACAAGAATGGACAGCACTGTTGCTAATGACGTGACTAGATTAAAGCCAAAAGGAAGTCTAACAGCTGATGTGCACAGAGATGAAAGGGAGGTCTGATGTTACACAACACATACACTTGAGACTAAAATGAAACAAGAGATAATGCTAAAAGATGAGGCTTCCAGGTTGGAAAGCAATCAACTGCTGGGGAATTGCAAATGACAAGAATGGACAGCACTGTTGCTAATGACGTGACTAGATTAAAGCCAAAAGGAAGTCTAACAGCTGATGTGCACAGAGATGAAAGGGAGGTCTGATGTTACACAACACATACACTTGGAACATAGGAACATGTAACATGAGAAGTAGAAGTCAAAGTAAACTTGAAACTATACAGGAATAAAATTAAACATGTAAACCTTGCACTGCTTGTTGCCAGTGAACTAAAGGGGGCTGGAGCAGGATGATTTCAGTCAGACAACTACAGCATGTTCTACTTTGGAAATAACAAACCCAGAAGAAAAGGAGTGGCTCTAATCATGAGAGGCTGATGTAGCACATGTAGTTAGGGCTATAATGCAAGGTCTGATTGAATAATATCCATCGGACTACTGAGAAAATCGATCAATATAACCATTATTCAAGTCTATACTCTAACTACCGATGCTGAAGAAGATGAAGTTGAAAGCTTTTATGCAAGAATCCAGGAGAAAACTGACCATCAAAACAAGACATGCTTATAATCATAAGTGACTGGAATGCAGAAGGAACAAAGTGGAACCAAATATTGTTGGAAAATTTGGGCTAAGGGATAAAAATGAAGCAGAAGAACAACTCATAGATTTATGCAAATATATGCTTCCAACAACTGAACAGACAGCTGTGCACATGGACATCATCAGATGGTGAATACAGAAATCAAATAGTTTATGTAACTGGAAGCAGATGATGGAGAAGCTGTATTTTATCTGCCAAAAATAAGATCAGCATCATGAACTGTTAATATCCAATGTAAGAGTAAAGCTAAAAAAGAACACTAAAAGAATTGTAGTGCCAAAATATACCGTATTTTTCGCACCATGAGACGCACTTTTTCCCCACAAAACGTGGGGGTGGAAAGTCTGTGCGTCTTATACAGCGAAGAAAACAGATTATATTTTCCTGTTTTCTTCTCCTAAAAATTTGGTGCGTCTTATGGAAAGGTGCGTCTTATGGAGCGAAAAATACGGGTAATCTAAACAACATTCCTGATGAATTTAAAGTTCACATAGGGAACAGATTTGCATTATTAAACTCAATTGACCATGAACCAGAAGAAATGTGCATTTAAACTAGAGATATTATTAGAGAAGAATCAAAAAGGACAATTCTTGCAGTAAAAAGAAAAGAAAGGAGATGCCAAGGAATGTGGTAACTATAGGACAGTGATGGCGAACCTTTTTGACCTAGAGTGCCCAAACAAACAAACAAACAAAAAAACCACAACCCAGCAGGTGGCAGCGGTGGAAGTGGAGGCAGAAGGGGGAATCCTGAGCATGGAGGTACCTTCAGACCCCACTCCGGATCCGCCTCCAGTCGTGCCCAACCCTGCCATTGGTCTGCTCGGTTGGAGAAGATCCTGTGAGTGTGGCTTTCTCAATTTGGGGAAGACAAGCAGGAATATGACTGCTAACACGTTACTAATGTGTGATGTTCATAATAATGTAAGCTAGTCCCATTACTCCAGCACCATAACAATTCTGCCACCTGGGTAAAATAACAAGAACTGTAATGAATTTGTTCCATCAAGTAATATTGCAAGCTTTGATCAATTGATCTGTCCATCAGCCTGTCCATCCATTCATCCATTCTCCCACCCATTGTTGAAAAATTATTTTGCCCTCCAACTCCTGGAATGTCCCAGCCATTATAGACAATACTTATGATGAACAATAGATTCTAGTACTGTAGTCCAAACAAGTAATTCCATTCCCTGTATTTCTTGTTTCTCTTTTGCTATTTAAGGGAATGTTATTTACTTGCTGATTTATAGACATTGGAATGGTTTTATGATGTTGGCTCATTTACATAGGCAGTATCTTATGCCAACATTTGGAAGGTAATCATAGTCAAAGTATTAAATGATGGAGAAATGTTGTCAGATTTTTTTTTAAGCACACAGATGCTCCATGCTGGATATGGATAATGGCTTCCTGAAAGGGTAGTTCTACCGTTCCGCAACAAGGGTGCCTCGCCCAGTCTCCCTCCAGGGGCTTCTTCTGGTATTCGGGTCCAGGGCGTATTACCCTCCTCCCACCAGGATAATTGCGATGGTGTACCGTTACCAGCCATTCCAAAGGCTCATAAGACTTTTCTGATCCCCTGGGAAAGTTCGGATCTGGCAACAAACCTCCCGTAGCCAGATTGGGGAAACTGGCCGCAACTCCTACTGGAGTTTCAAACCCGAGCATGGGTTCAGTCTGGACCCCTCGAGTCTTGTTCCTCTCTGGGTTTGCATCTGTGCAGATTCTAAAAGCCCGCGCGTTTTCTCCCCCTTTTATCTCCTCCCACACTATTAAATCTAACTCCTCCCCTCCTTCCTCCACAAGGCACACCTCCGTTGGTTTTTCAGACACCACTTCCGTCTGCTCAATGTCAATTAGTATTCCTACTGCACATTCGGCCTCCTCTACAACAGGACTTTCTGCGGAGGACGGCGCACTCCTCATTCCTCTGTCACACTATTGGAGCAAACCAAAGAATTTCAGAATATCAGTCTATGCTAAAGGCAAAGTCTTTGACTGTGTGGATCATGAAAAACCATGTGTTGTTCTGAAAGAAATGGGTGTGCCTCTGCGCTTCATTGTCCTGATGCATATCTTGTATTGCGGACAAGAAGCTACCTTTAGGACAGAATATGGAGGGACAGAATTGTTTCCTATAGGCCAGTCTTTCCCAATCTTGGGTAACCCAGATGTTCTTGGACTGCAGTTCCCAGAAGCCTTCACCATCAGAAGTGCTAGCTGAGATTTCTGGGAGTTGCTGTCCAAGAACACCTGAATTACCCAAGACTGAGAACCACTGCTGTGGGTAGAGGTGTCAGACAAGAATGCATTTTATCCCCTTATTTGTTCAATCTGTATGAAGAACGTATACGGAAATCCAGACTAGAATTAGATGAAGGAGGATTGGTGAAAAAAAATATCAATAATGTTGTAAACCATCCCGAGTGGTCTTGGCAGCCAGATGGGCGGTATACAAGTCTAAATAAATAAATAAAGACATGCAGATAACACCATCTTACAGGCATAAAGTAGTAATGACTTGAAACTACTTTTAGTGAAAGTGAAAGAAAACGCGAAAGCAGGACTGCAGTTGAATATTAAGACAAAAAATCATAACTGCAGAAAGACTACATAACTTTAATGCTGACAGTGAAGAAATTTAAATAGAGATTTTGTATATCTTGGTTCAATCATCAACCCAAAGGGATCTGCAGCCAAGAAATCAAAAGTCTGAGACTAGGAAAGGCAGCAATGAAGGAATTAGAAAAATATAATTAAGTGTAAGGATGCATCACTAGAAACAAAGACCAATATGATTAATGCTCTTGTATTTACGATCACCGTGTATCAGTGTAAAAGCCAGAGAATAAAGTAAGCTGATAGAAGGGGGGGGGGAATGATTTGTTTGAAATACAGTATGGTGCTGGACGAGATCTTTGCAAATACCCTGGATTAGATCTTAGGTCAAATCAAGCCTGAACTGTCTCTGGAGGCAAAAAATGCTGAAACTGG